GGAAGGTTGACAACTTATTCACTTTACTAAGTTGTCATACTTTTAATTTTTTTATATTGATATTTGTTTCTTTAATTTAGATTTATAATCATATTGTCAAAAATTAGTATTATTTCTTTACTTAAGTTTTTCTAAGTAGACTTTAGTTTTTCTTAATTTTATAAATTTATATAATTATAAAAACTTATTTTGAATTTATATTGACTAGTACCAGTTTGTATTTTTTTATATAACCAAGATTACATATATGTTCTATAACCTGCTAGTTATATTAATATGATTATAGTTACAAATATCTTATTTTAACAAATCAACAAAATGCTATTACTATAATATTGTAGTATTATATAGATAATTATTCAAATTTTTGCTATCAATGTGTTTTGAACTCACAACCTACTACTTAAAAGGTTGACAACTTATTTATTTTACTAAGTTGCTACACCTTTGACTTCATTATTTAAAATTGATTATCATTATATAATATTTATTCAATTTAAGTCTTTATTTTTTACAATTTGTAACTTTGATTTAATACATCATATATTGAAAATTTTTAAAATTTTCTTGTCATTTTTTTAAAAAATTAAATCATTTTTTTATTTTTATAATTTTTAAATTTCTCTAAGTCAACAAATTTTTAGTTAGTTTCATCAAACTTTCTTTAAAAAAAATTTATAATATTTTTTTTCAATAAATATTTATTTGGTTTATATTATATAATTATTATATAGTTTAATATAAATTGTTATATTAAGCGAGGATATGGTGATCTAGTAAAGTAGTCAGGTTGTTAACTCCCAAATGGCAGGTCTAGAGTTCAAATTCTATGGACAACAAAGTTTGAAAAATAGGTCTGTATTACAATAACTGTTTCTGTCAATCAGTTGAATTGATGTATCTGTAATCTTTGTTGCATCATCTCGAATGGGAGCTTGGAACATCTATATTAAATGTAATATTATATCCACATAGAGGAATATTAATAACTGGTGTTGTATAAGACTTCAGTACAAACTCATGATAAGACCACTGGGCATGAAAAGCAAAGGAACTAAAGAGTCAGAAACTCATTTGGAAATCCCAAGTAAGAAAATAACACAAAACTTTTGATGATGTTGTTGAACTGATGGAAACCCATAAAACACACCTAAAGAAATAGGTAAATAAACCAGATAACAAGATGTGTAGAGGAGCATATAACCAACCAGGCTGCCAGAATCACTAGAGAAAAAGAATACTAAGGTATACCATACCAGGCCATCTGAATTGGAAGTTTAAGAAATCCTGTCAGTTCTGAATAGCAGTTAGTAGGAGATGATGAAGAGGATATTAAAAAGAGGAATACTAGGGTTTTAGATGAACCTTATAAGAATAAAAGTGGTTTAATGATTAACCCTGACTGCAAGTGATGGTTTAGACCAAAACATAACTGGGTGAACTGTAAGTATAGAATACAGAATGCACTAGTAGGTTTAGTACAAAGTTAAACATAACTTAGTAACCATGACATATCTTCACTAGTTTACTGCAGTTGCTGGTAGAGTGTGATGGATACAGGATCAGAATGTTTAAATAGAGGATCTACAGGTGGGTTCTAGGTATAACAACTAGTGTAAAACCTTTAGGCAAACTACTTAAATTAGACAATGACTAAAATTGTATAAGTGGCTAGTTGTACACTCTTTCTGTAATTGCCTCTGTGTCTATACATGTATAGATGCTAACCAACTTATACTATTAGTAAAATCCTGGATCGCATGTACTCACCTTAACATTTAAAAAAAAAAAAAATGTTACATTAAGCTATACCAATCTTGATTTTATTTCAAAAAAGAAACTAATTTATATATAATCATTACAGTTAATCCTCCTGGCAAAACTGCCAAAATCAACAATAAAAACACTAAAATCAAATTACTATAATTAGATAAATCAAAATACAATTAAAAAATAGCATAAAACATAGATGCCTCTATAGTAGAAAGTGCCTAGAAATGATTTTGAATTAAGTTTATTTGTGATCGGGTTTATCATTGATTAATAATTTTCGGTATCCGAAAGTTTTTTTGACCGAAATTTATCCGATGAAAATCAAGAATATGGCCTAAATTACTACGGTCAACGAAATGATCGACAAAAGTTACATAGGCCAATCATATATGGTGCTGCATTATTATGGTAAATCATCTATCCACGGGTTCAATCCGGTTAGAATCCGGATCTCAGATAGGATTTGCGGAATACTAATTCTTGTATGTATGTTAAAACCAGTTTTAACCAGTTTTAATATTAGACATTGATGTTAACGCTAACGCTAACACTAATATGTAGATTATTGGGAAAGTTAATGAATTCAGTTTAACTGATAATGTCAATCAAAATTTCAAGATTCACCATTCACCCGTTACTATCAGGCACGATCTAAAATATAACAATTATAATACGAAACTTAAAAATATTTATTGTTTTCGCTTCGTTACGCAGGATATCATTGGTATTTTATGTACAGATTGATGACTGGGATCAACTTGCCACGTTTTTTTTTTTAGCACATGTCCCCAAACGACAATTATACGATAATGGGAATTTTTATGCCAATCGAGGTTCTTAGCATTTGAAATACGATCCAATTTTTGGGGAATTTTAAAACTTCGATTATATTGTTTAAATATGTTGTATTATACGTTTTTTTACGGACGAGATACCATTGAATCTTATAAATATAGAGCTCCAGTAAAAACGAATTTTCATATAAAATGACGGATCCAAACACTGAAACACAACTGAGCCATCGTCAAACTACCGAATCAAAAGTCGATGAAGTTACAAAGTTTGAGCGGGATTATGTGCCACCAAACTTTACGGTAAAAGAAATACGACAGGCAATTCCACCCCATTGCTTTGAGCGAAACACATTGAAATCAGCCAGTTATATTGTTAAAGATCTTGCCGTGATTGCGGTTCTGGTCTACGCAGCGACGTTTATTGATACACACCTTCCACAGACGCTTCGTTTTATTGCATGGCTTGTGTATTGGTTTTTTTGTGGGGCATTTGCGACAGGTATATGGGTGATCGCTCATGAATGTGGACATCAGGCCTTTTCACCTTCCAAGTTTATAAACAACACAGTAGGCTTCATATTGCACTCAGCTTTACTGGTTCCGTATCATTCGTGGAGAATAACACATTCCAAACATCACAAATTTACGGGTCATATAGAGAAAGATCAAGTATTTGTACCAAAAACACGAAAAGCATTGGGACTTATTGAGAAAGATGAACACGAAGACGGAACTTCAATATACGAAGAGACACCTATAGTTTCACTTTTTATGTTGATTCTTCAACAATTATTTGGATGGCCGCTCTATCTGATCTTTAACGCGTCGGGACAAAAATACAAAAACCGCTGGGCCAATCATTTTAATCCATCATCACCTATATTTGAACCCAAACACTATAACGATATAATTATTTCCGATATAGGAATTATTATTGCATTATCTGCCATCTATTATTTTTCTTATGTTTATTCATTCATAACTGTAGTAAAATATTATTTAATACCTTACTTGGTTGTAAATCATTGGCTTGTTCTCATAACATATCTTCAACACACTGATCCAAAATTACCACATTATCGTAAACATTGGGATTTTGTTCGTGGAGCTGCTTGTACAGGTATTTCAACTTATATACCGGTAAATGATTTTGATTTAAAGAATTCATGAAAACTAAAAATTATCCAAATATATTATTGCAGTGGATCGTCATTTCGGATTTCTTGACTCTATATTTCACCGAATCTCGTCTACACATGTTGCTCATCATTACTTTAGCACCATGCCACATTATCATGCTGAAGAAGCAACCATTCATCTTAAAAAAGTTCTTGGTTCTTATTACATTTTTGATGATACACCTATCTTTAAGGCTTTATGGAGAAGTTATAATCAATGTCGATTTATAGAAGATGAGGGTGATATTATTTTTTACAAAAATTAAACATTGAGATTATTTAAACAACGATGTAATTACATTTTGCATCCATAAACAATAAATTATTTTACGTCCTCTAAGATTAAATAAAATAAAATTAAATCTTTTTTACCATCATTATCTATAAATGGGTTCTACAAAATTATAACGATTTTAGTATAAAATAGTGCACTACTTTTCTAACAAAGGAGTGCATTTGTGAAATTTTTAATATGTTTGGAGAATTGAAACGAAACGATTTGTCACGGTTCGATCGTAAAACAAATTAATGAACGATTTAAGATGAATTTACATTAAACATGACTATATTAATTAAAATGCACTTTTTATCAACAATTAAAATATGACTTTTTATAATAAAACGCATAAAAAAAAAAAAGTATTGTATTCGGCACTGTTTAAATAATCCAATCGTGATACCAATTAGGTCGGCCAATGATGTAGTATCACAAGGTACCCTTGTTTGAGTTGTTAGTCACGCGGACTTGAAGGGCCTCTGATTTTTGTAACTTTTTTTTGCAAAAAACGGTCTTTTTAAATTATATAATTTCGATAAAACAAAAGCATTTTACAATTTATTTTATTCTTCAATAAATTCCTTTTAACGTAGTTTTATATCTGTGGCTCTTGACGTAGTTAATAGAGATCACTAAAAATTATTTCCAACGGTTAAACCTTGACTAACGGTAATCACATACGTATATATCCTCAGAAAAATTTACAATCAAAAGAATTTTGTAGACATTACTAACCTTATAAATAGTGTAATCTCGTATGTAACTGGTGTTAATGTTATTATTTCTTTAGTAGATCGTTTATTCATGCGAAATTTTAAATTATTCTATATTCCCAATCTCTTTTTTGTTTTTTTGAATTGATCGCAGCCTATTTTTGTAATTTTTTATTATTATTTATTTACGACTTTATTTATTTGCAAAAAAAAAATACGTGAAAATAATTAAAATATACTTCAAATTAACTTTCAAATGAAGAACATGGTAAAGGTTAAATCTCTCAAACCTTCATTGGATTTTCGACGTTCTGTTTCAAAGGACAAAATATCAACACCCATAGAGACGAAAGCCCCACCTCCTTCTATTTTACCACCAAAAAAAGTAATTAAGGCGTTATATGATTATACGGGTAACGGAACAAAAGAATTATCTTTTTCTAAAGGTGATTTCTTTCACGTCGTCGGTAACGAAAATGATCCAAATTGGTATGAAGCATGTAATCCTGCGACTAATGTACGAGGATTGGTTCCTGTTTCCTATTTTCAAGTATTAGAAAAAAGTAGTCGATTTGTTGATGACAAAGCTGATTCTGGTAATACTTTAGATGTACAAAAACCTCAACCTTTATACGGTATTGTTCTTTATGATTTTGTTGCGGAAAGACCTGATGAATTGGACGCTAAAGCTGGTGAACCTATTATTGTAATTGCTCAATCAAATCATGAATGGTTTGTTGCTAAACCTATAGGTAGGCTGGGTGGACCGGGTTTAATTCCTGTAGCTTTTATTGAGATTAGAGATCACGCTACTGGTAAAGCTATTGAAAACATTCAGGAATTAATGGATAAATCTGTTGTTCCAAGAGTTGAAGAATGGAAAAAAATGACTAAAGATTATCAAGAAAATAGTATTTCATTAGGTCGTTTAGATCCAAAGTTAGCTCCTATGGCTTTGGTTGATCAACAATTAGCACCTGTATCTTCAGATTATGATCCAAAACATGTACCTGTATCCTTAGATTATGATCAAAATTTTGCACCTGGACCTCCCGATTATGATCAAAAACTTGCACCTGTATCCTCTGATTATGATCAAAAACTTGCCCCTGTGTCTTATGATGATAGTAATAAAAATCCAGATACTTCTGGATTACATGATTCAGTTCCTCTTGAATATTATGATTATTCCCAAGAAGAAATCTTCGATAATTCTGACAATTTACCTATTAATTCTGATCAACAATTTGGTCATTACGATTCTGGTACCGTTCCTAATGATGAAGATATAATTTCAGCATCAGTTGAATCATTTCATTTTGAAGATGGACGGTTTTGGTTCTTGGTTCGAGTTGAATTATTTTCTGGATGCTTTCGTCTTTTATATCGATTATATGAAGATTTTTATGAATTTCAAATTGCACTTCTTGATAAATTTCCTGATGAAGCTGGTCGAAATGGAGATCAACGTATTTTACCATTTATGCCTGGACCACTTTCATATGTTAATGAAATTATTACTGCGCAAAGACGTGCAGATTTAGATACTTATGTTAAAGAATTATTGAGATTACCTTCTTATATTTTAAAAGATCCTTTAATAGATCAATTATTCGGTCTACGAGATGGAGATATTGAAACACCTAATGATCCTAGACAACCTATGGGAAATGGAAGTACAACGGATCCTGATCCATTACCTCCGATGTTAACATATCCAGTTAATCATACACCTATTACATCTCAACAACAAAGAAAATTACCACCTCTAAGTGGAGGCGGTTATAATAAGCATAATACATCATCATCTTCGACTGGTCAATCATTTATCAAATCACCACGTGTTCATGATGAGTCCTCTAATAATTCAATCCTTTTTTCACCAAGTGCAATAAGTCCAAATTCAGAAAATAAACAAACTTTTATGAAAATCAAGATATCATACAAAGATGATAAGATTGCTATTCGAGTTCCATCAGACGTTACTTATGCACAACTCCGAGAGAAAATATGTGATCGTCTAGGAGAACGTGTGTCAAGTTTGTCATATAGAGATGAAAAGACTAACGAAGTTAGTCCGCTCGAGGATGACGATGATCTTAACATTGCATTAGATAATTGTCCAAAATTACTCATTTATGCTGCTTAAAATGTCACTTACATCGTGTTGTAGGCAAATTTGCTTGCAATTTTTTGAATAGCATTTTTTTTTTCTAGCAGATCGCATGTAAATCACAATATAGGGTTTTATAATTTTGTGCACTTGCATCCCTAATCATATGACTTAAGATAATTTTTTATTATGTATTTTTAATTAATTAGCGATTAGTAAATGAATATATATATATACAATAAAAAAAAAACAAATCGCGTAACAAATGATAAATTAAACAATTATTTATTATCGATAAATTTAGAAGAATGATATTCTTAGCAAATTATTATTATCATTTAACAATAAAATTCATTTGTATACAGTATATTATTATTATCGATGAGACTTGTTTATATTAGCATTAATAAAATAACATAAACAACCACATATTTTTTTAAATTAAATAAAATCATTACAATGAATTATTTAGAAGAATGACGCGATTAGGAATCTGATGAAATGTCAGAATTGATTAACTAGAGATTTTATTGAAAGAATCTCTGATTGCAAATGATGCATAAAGCTTTTTGTATAAGTTTTTCTTGATTGATACTCAAGAAATAATTAATCATTAAAACGATTTGAACGAATAAAACGTCATTTGTATATATCTGATTTATTGAAATTTATTCAAAATGACAAACCTCTTGCTTTATCGGTTCGGAAAGCATATAAAAGATTACGCATACCAAGTTCAAAAATATAGACAAGATGATTTAAGAAGTACGCGTATCATGTGTATGAAGTTCAAATCTAATAATACTTGAAGGATCTTGAGTTTGTGTGACTCAGGATATCTATGAACATTTTCGTTTTTCGACGTGTAATTGAAAAGAAAATAGATTTACCTATTATTCAGGATGTTAACGAAATAAGCCGTTACGTTTTGTCATCTACAGTGGTACAGCTTCCACTTACAACAACACAAGCTTTTTATGTATAACTTCAGAACTTTGCTTTTACATTAATACTTAAAGTAACGGATAGGATACATGGAATACGCGGATCGCAAAGTTGCCAGTGGCGCGTTTGCGTCGGTGTCCACGTGAGATCAATCTAATGATAAAAAAAAGTTAGGACTGTTTTTAGTAATTGATTATTACACAATAATGATAATTTAAATGAGCGCCGCCGAGGAATTCTAAATATAGTTTACTATAAAATGAATAATTTCCTATATTTGAGTTTCTTGATTTCAATTCATATGGGAGGCGTTGATATCGCAGATCGACGGCGTTCATATTACCATTCTCAATTCACAATCCGTCGAAACTGGTATCCATTGTTTTATCTGAATTCGGGATCCAAACATTGGGGATGCACGACTTAAATTCTGTAATAATCTTATTTTGGACATAATAAAATCAAATGATATAAATGAAATTCACCTGTTTAATTTTCTTTTATATTACATTTATCATACATAAAAAGTAACAATAAATTGACTATTGCAATTTAATGAATTCAAAAGTAACTATAACAGGAATAGAAAAAAAGTATATCTCGTACATACGATCAAGGTTAGGTCAATTTCATGTGTACTTCCATATTCTGGTAATCACATATGTATATAATCAATTGATAAATTGCTTTTGGAAACAATTGAATTAATTATCTCCTTAAAAAAAAAAAATTGTAAACATTTAATATTAATACGTATTGCTCAATTAATATAATAGTTTTAATCTGATTTATATATGGTTACAGTTAATAACGACAAGGGAAAGTGCATACTTAAACGTTTCAGGGATTTACATCTTATCATTAAACGAGGATGTGCTGTACCAGTATAATTGTCAAATCTGTTAAAGTAAAAGAGTTATCATATGCACTGTAATGATAACTTTTTTTTTGATGCCTAATAAATAAATATTATATAATTATATTGCATGCAGTATTTTAAGGAAAATCCTGATTGGTTGGTAACTCAGCCGGCTACCGAAAAATCGCAACGGTTTTATTCAATGATTTACTATAATGATACAACTTCATCCAATAGCGATAGCGATAGAAATACCATAAATTTATTATAATAAGCTAATCGTAGTAAGACATTACCCATTAAAGATAATTTTAAAATGTTTTTGTTACGTGCGTTGGCTTAGTTTTATATATTCAATGAAAAGATTTACTACGTATAAATCACTTGAACAGAACACCCCAGCCAGTGTCTAAAATTGGCTTGCACAAGATGCGCATGTGCAAGAATTTTTTTGGGATTTTTTAAATATCCATTAAGTGTGCAAGTAAAATTTTTAAAGAAGTTGCACAAAATGCATTTGTGCAGGTATTTTTTTTTTTGGAATTTTAAACACTGACCCCAGCATGTTTGTAACATGTTATGAATGATTAAGAATAAATTACAAATTTATGGCTTTTTAAGTTTCATTATTACTAATTGTTTCAACTTCAAACGAATGACGCTGAAGGTGGTCTCAATTTCAATCCTTACACAATTAAGTCGGGTAATCAAAAATTTAAAGTTCCAAGTCTTTGTATTTGCCGTATTTAGGCTAATAAAAGAATAATTAATTTAGAAGAAAAAAACCATTTCCACCAGGATTATTGTACGTAGTATTCACGTGATTAAATTAATAGTATTAGCGTTAGACAAGTTAAAATAGAAATTCCCTAACAAATATGAAAGCAAAATATTAAACTAGCAAAAACGACATTTTATGCCCCGAATTTTAGATTTGTCTTTAAATATTCTAAATATATTTTATCTTGCATTTATATTTGCAATCAATTAAAATACCAAGAGAGAGAAAACCTTGATAAGCTTAAAGAAAACATAAGACAGTAGCAAGTTCTTAATTTCAGAATTTATTATGATTTGTGACAAAGTAATCTCTTATTGTTTAAAAAGAAAAATACTACAATTAACTAATGGTGATTATCACCACCCTTATTTTTTAGGATTAGGGTGCAGTTTGAAGGATTAGATATAATAGTCTGAATATTAAATTACACAAGGGTCCTGAACATTTTTACTTAATTTACCTGACTACTGTTTCTTAGTGCGTTTTTGAGATATGAGTGCTGCCAAGTAAAAATGTAACTTCGAACTTTTGTATCGAATGCAATTTATCTAATTTATTAAGGACTGTGTCCGGCATAAAATATAATTGAAATCCTGAAGTTACGTTTTCCCTTTGTAGTACTTATATAGAAGTACCCCGACAGATTTCACTGATCGACAGCGATTGCTCAATTAGATTACAAGATCAGGTGTAAAACAAAAACTAAAATATTTCGTCTATGCAATCATTTTCTGCGCGTTAGTAAAAAAAATTTCTTGCAAATTTTAGTATAAAACAAATATTATTATAATTGTAAATCTGACTATTGATGCTAGTGAAATTAAACTATTCATCAGGTGAAATAGTAAAATAGTTTTATTAAAATTGCATCAAATAAAAATTTGGTAAAATGGTAAAATTGGTAAAATTAAAATTGGTAAATTTATGAATTGATGAAATGGTAAAATAATAAAATAATAAAATAGTGAAGTTGATAAAATAATGAAATGATGAAATTAATAAAATTGTGAAATAAGAGGATGACGATCCTAGTGTAGTGGTTAGGTTGTCATCCTCCAAGTGGCAGGTCTAAGGTTCAAATCCCACCTATGATGAAATTCGGAAATTATATCTGCGTTACGGTAACTGTCTCTTGTTGATCGGTTGGCCTCATGTGGCTGTTACCCAGGTACACCAGGCCGGGTCCTCCCAGCTTTGGAAGCTCATGGCATCTATGCGAAGTATAACATTACACGTACATAGAGGAATGTTAACCGGTATTGCATAAGACTTCGGTGCAAACCCATGATAAGACCACCAGGCGTAGAAGATTAAGGAACTGAGATGACAGAAACCCACTTAGAAATTTCTGAGTAAAGAGGTAGCACAAAACTTTCGACAGTGCTGTCAGACTGATAGAAGCTCATGAAACACCCCCAAAGAGAT